AGGCCTGAAGCCTGACACCACCTATTCCGCCATACTGATCCCGAAGTCCGAAGGACAAACATTTAACCAACTCTCTGTCAACTTCACAACAAAGCCAGGTTGGATGAAATCACATTTACACACTGGCTCATAACTTTGCTACTTGCTACAATATGTGGGGGGCTTTTTCAGCCTTTATTTATGAGAGGACAGTTGAGATAGACAGTACATGTGGAGGAGAGAGAGAGAGAGAGAGGATGACATGCAGCAAATGGCCGTGGGTTGGACTTGAACCTGGGGACTCAGCCTATGTACATGGGGCATGTGCTCTAGCAGTGAGCTAACTGGCACCCTTGACTTTTTATGGCCATTTTTCACCATTATTTGTCATTTTCTAAGGTAGCTTTTTATTTTATGTGTCAGAATTTCCAATACTGTGGTAGTAATTGAAAATGTGAAAAATATGAAAGCTCAATTTAAATCAAAATAAATATTCACCTATTATTGGAAACTGTTTTTCATATATGTTGAATTGTATACTTGACTGTAGACAACTTTTTGCATGTTCAGCTGACTAAAAGACTTGTAATGCTAGTAATGACCTGGAATTAATTAAGTGGAAGTGTACCAATTGAGGCATGTCTCTATCGTCTATCTGTTCTTGTCATAGTTATCATAAATTACAGACCCGTAAAATGAAGTGAGAAAATTATAATTGGTTGCAACCCTCATTTACTTTATTATCTTAAACTGACTCTCTTTTTTCTTGTCTCCCCACACTCCAGAAGTTCTGAGCCCAGCTGTGGTAACAGTCTCTGAGTCGGGGCAAACCAGCGTTCGGGTGAGTTGGGGTCCTCTTCAGCCAGAGATGGTCACAAGTTATTACATCGAGTACTCTGGCTTGCCAAGGGGCAAGCTCCACGCTGTCACAGTGGATCGAAGGGAAAACTCCACGCTCCTCAGAGACCTCCAACCAGATACCACTTACTTGGTCACTGTTACTGCTCTGCATGCTTCGGGCAAGGAGAGGGCCATGTCTGTCAAAGTGTGTACTCAGGAAGGTGAGCCACATGAAAAAAAATGCTGTAAAACTGGATCATCAAGGATCCATTTACTGCACACTAATCCTAATCCTACACAGTTAAATCCTCTCTGGGTATTACATTTCAGATCATTTCTAGCAATTCCATTCACTTTTGACTACTCCAAGGGCATTTGTGAGCTGCTAGAGGAGCTTGAGCTAATCAGACACATTTTGTACTGTACAAGTAATATTATATATCTATTATAAAGTATTTGTTTTCCTTTAGCTTATACTTTTTTTGCTCCGTATCATTCATACTCTCTTCACGTCATTCTCTTTCCTTTTGAAATCTAACATCTCTGTGGTCTCCATTTCCAGTGACTCCTGCCCTGGCAGACCTCCAGCTAACCACAGTGGGTAGTGACTCAGTGCAGGTCGATTGGAAGGGCAGTGTACCCGGTCTGAGGGGTTACTGGCTCACCTGGGAGGGACAGCAAAACTCTGTACCTGGCCAGCGCTCCTCCCTCTATTTGCCGCCCGACTCTCTGTCAACGCGCCTCACACACCTCCCCCCATTGGCTAGAGTGTGTGTGTCACCCATTTACCGGACGGCCCGGGGAGAGGGACTGTGTTGCACGGCACAGTTTCATTCACGTGAGTGGTGACAGGGCATGCGGCACTTTCTTTCAGAGTTCAGCATTTTCTACACAGCTAGAGCCATGTTGCAGTTAGCATAGCTTAGCATAAAAACTGGAAGGAGGAAAAACAGCTAGCTCTCTCTCTAAAATTTAAAATCCACCTCTAAAATGCACTTCGTTACACAGTAACATATCTTCTTTTTGGTTTTAGGGAGACTGAGGTGGTGTAACTATTTATTGATGAACAGCAACAAACAACAGACTTCCCAGAGTCTTGTTGTCAGCTGCTCAGAAGTACTGGAGTATGGATAAACTATAATTAGTCATGAAATAGTTACACCACATAACTCCCTCTGAAACCGCATCTTTGCTTTTACATTTCTGTTTCAATATGGATTAAACAAATAAAATACAACTTTTTATTACTGAGCTTTAGAGCTGTTGGTAGGCAGATATTTTTTTTAAACTTTGGACTCAAGCCTACCTTTTAAGGAGCATCTTCAGACTTAAAAGTTCAACATTTTGGGAAATATGGTTATTTCTTGTCGATAGTAACATGAGAATATTGATGCCATTCTCACACCTGCTGCTTAGCATTCAGTTGAGGCCTTAAATGGTACAGTATCATAGGGATAGGGAGTAATAACCCCTAAAATGACAATTTCTACATTTAATTTGTCATTACTGTGAGCACTACAAATACAATTTCATTCCCCTCTATCACAGCGACAGTTATCTCAGTATCTGTAAATAAATAAATCTGACTGCATTTCTAGATAATACTACAAGTAGTATGTGTTTTTATAACTTGAGGGAACAGACCCTTTAAACTGAAACATATTTATGTTGGATTGAATGAATAGCTGTGGATTAACTCCATTTGTTGTCTGATAGTAGTGTTCATAGATACAGGAAAAGTCATAACATAAGACTTTGCTGTTTTCTCTCTCTGCTCTTTAGATGGATTAGCATATGGCTACCAGTCATAGCACGCCTGAATTGCAAATGTACCTTACCAAACATGGAGGGACAGAGGGACCATGGCAAGAAGAATGTTGACTTTCATCCATAATTCCTTCCCGTGCCTCTCCCCTCTTTGAGCATCATCCAGGAAATATGTGTGGTTTGGCTACTGAACACTCATGTGGAAGCCATAGACACTTAAGAGTGGTCTGGGACAATATGGCCACACGTTGACTGCTAACAATCTGTAACACTTTCCATTTCTATTTCTTATTTGGTTTACACCTGTAGTAAATGCATAATGCTTTCAATTTAAAGATGCAAACTTAAGATACAGATATTTCTTTGGGCTGTTTTGCAGATACACAACAAAGCATGCTGGGAATGTTGGATGTTTTATGTTGCTTGTTTCGGAGAAATGCTTTGCACCATATGTGGGCCTCATGCCCAACATTTTTTTGAGATCTAGCTAACATCTGATTTACATTTCTAATGAATACTTATAACTTGTACTTAAATTACTTCTCTTTCAACACATGCTATGTGTATGTGCACACTGGACGGCAACAAGGGGATGTTAACATAGTGTCCCTAATAACAGGATCTTCAAGATTACTTTGAACTTTTCAGAAATTACAAACAGACCAGCCACATGCCCTGAAGCTATGGAGACGCTGCATATGATACAAATGTGTGTAACTGAGAGTAGTCTTGTATTGGTCTCTGGACATACAGTAGATCCATCATTGATATTTATTAATTAAGAATTATGTAAGAATGAGAATTCATAGCATTCAGTATTTACAGACAAGCTGTTTACACTGTAAGACTGTTTTAAGCCAGTCTTTGCTGCCCCCTACTGAAATCATTCTTACTTACTTAGAGCTGTTTACTGTTATCCTCTCAGAGAATATGTATTGTGATATATTTGTTGATCACGATTGGAATTTAACATGAGCTTGCAATAAAGTCCTTATATAATTTTGTTTATACTAATTATGTATTTTTTTTATTATAGTACAATCATGGCCTAAGATTAAAGGTAGATGTTCTGAAGAATAGCTTTTTCTAAAGGGGGACTCCACTGATTTTACATGTCAATTACAGTTTACCAGTCATGAGGAGTAAAAAAAGACATTGGGAAGCTAGGATCCAGCATTTTCAGAGTTTGACTGTTACTAGGCACTAAAAGTCAGTATCGGCTGCTTCAAGTTAGACAATTCTTTTAAAAATATGTCTCTCGCAAGTCCCCCAATGTTTTACAAATGCAATTCTAAATCACTTTATGATGGATCTGTACCTTCAAGGTTCTACTTTCAGGTGAATTTGTAAAAATAGTATTAAAAACACCACTAGTTTCTATAAAAAATGTGTTTGCTTTATTATTTCTTCAAAAACGTGGGAAACATTTTAACTGACTTTCAAGTTTTGTCTAATTTGGTAAACGATATGAATAATTTACAGAATATAATCAGTATGATGTGTTGGGATGGCACATATTGTAAACAAAAGTAGTCAGGTATTTCATTCCTTTCCTTCTTTCCTATCCAAACCGAGCAGGATTGAATACCAGCTCATGTGTTATCAATGAACCTGTCCATTTCTCATGTGAGAGTGGTCTAGCTTTGTCAAAATATACTGAGATCTGTAGATCTAACTCAACACTATGATGTAAAATTGATTTAATCTATTACAAACGCTTATAGTTATTTAGGGAAGATATAAATTAAAAGAGGGACAGTGTGATAACAGCACACAGTCACAGTTTTATAGAGTAGAGAAGAGTGAAAGCATATTCAGCTGGTGTATTAACTGTGTGTTACCATTTTGATAAACATTGGTAGTTTATTTGTCTTTTCTGGCTAAATCTTGAAATAATGACATTTTTTTGCAGAATGTTTAGACTTTGTTGAATTATTTTTGTCTTAAAGACCACAGCACCAATAGAATCAAGCAAGGCTGCAGACTTTAAAACATTTTGTTCTTCAGAGGACCTAGGGTCAAACCTTTTGCAAATTTTTTGTACATAACCTATCAAGAGGTTTCACCTAAAGTAGGCCTAATCTAACTTCTATTTAATTCAGTGTTTTATTTAGAAAAGCATTAGGCTACTTCTTCAGAGCCCCTGGACATCCAGCAAACCACCCAGAGATGAAAGCATAGCCTATAATTATTCAGAACTTTTTCCCCCTTTGAATTGAATTGTAAAGCTAACACGTAGACAAAAAGTATTTTGACCATTGTCCTATTTACTTGGTTCAAACGAAAAAACAATCACTTGAATGGTCGCCACGAATGATTTCGAGCAGGCGAGAGTTCACCAGAGAACACATGAAGGTAGCATCAGGTCTGGTGCAGTTGCTGCACAGTAGGGGGCGGCAATCTACGTATCCTGTTTCCCGTTAACGTTAGCCCTTCAAACTGCAATACCCAGCCTTGACATTGCGAAGATGGACGCAGTTATGGTGTAGACCAGGAAACATAGAAAGCACAAACTGCGAGTTTCAGAGCTTTGTTATGACAACATTTCCAGTTGGTCCAGGTAATTTGAAAACCACCGGATTACTTATCTATCGAGCAAACGTTAGCATCTTTGCTAAGTTAGGTATAAGATAGCTACATTAGCTAGCAGAAATGACAGTCTACTCAGCTAATGTCAACGAAGTGGCTAGCGAAGCGAACAGTAGCTAAGCTAGCTAGCAACGTCGGATCAACTAACGTAGTTTGAGATAACTGATAGCGTAGCACGCCAAACTGCTAGCATGTCTTGGCGACTATTACTTGTCTTATCCAGAGCAGCAGAATTGTTACACAGACGCCAGCCAGCAGCTAGCTTGAGCTAATGTCATCAGCGAGATAAGGAAGATGTTTTGATTGTCAGTGCTAGCTAACGTTAGCACGCTAATCATTTTCAGAACCGTTTCCTGGTTGTGATTTTCCGGCTTGTAATCGACCCGAGGTTTAAGATACAAATGGTTGGTATGTTTCATCCTCGTCTTCATCGATCTGTTAAGCTTACCATGCATACAAGCCAGCTAGTATTTAACATATGCTATGTAACATCAAGTTAATGCTAGCCTTGACACATTTTGTTTTCTGTGGGGGGGGGGGACATAATGGAAGTTACTTTCAACGTTAGCAAACACATAACATTATCTGGACGGTATGATGGGTCCTGTTCACTTTCAAACTATAACGTTAGCTTAACTTAAATCAATGAACATGACTTCAGACTCTTCACAAGATTTTATGATACGCTGTTTTGTCGTCTTGCATGCAATGCACCAAATGACGATTGTTTTAATATAAAAACTTTTTCTGTCGTTGCTAACATAACGTTATGTTGATGAAACATTTAATTGTCAAGCTCAGCTCAATTATCAAAAAGAACCTCGTTTTGTAAGAGGTGTGTTACGTTATGTTTCTCTGTTAGTAGGGTTAACATTGACAGTTTTGGCAGAAGCATTCTCACAACAGAGAGCGCAACTGTTTGTGCTAGCCTATATAACTTGCCATATTAAGTGGACTATTGGAATTGTGTGTCTGCAGGTGGAGGCAGGAGGTGTGAGTAGAGTGAAGTAGACATCAGCAGCATGTACTCCGAGTGGCGCTCGCTGCAGTTGGTGGTGCAGAGTGACCAGGGCCACCTCAGTGTTCTGCACACCTATCCTGCCAATGTGGGCATGGAGGTGGCAAATGCTGTGGTCAGGCCGCTGGGCACAGCTGTAAGCCCTGTCGCTACAGAGAACATCCTCAAGACAGACAAGGAGGTGAGACAGAGATTCACCCTGTTGTACTTTAGGCCTGTGCATGCACTATGCAATATTTGACATAATTTCAACATCTTGGTAGTCTGCCAAGCTACCAGCTCACTAGCCTGTCTGCTTCAAAACATATTCTTACATGGCTTAAGGGTGACCAGCCTCATCTGTCCATCATTTGATGTAACCACACCGGTTGCAAGAGCTCAGTGTTTGATGGCGCCATCACTATGCTGGGGAGAAAGTTTAGATTAGAAACTCTGAAATAAAAACATTAATGTCAAGATATTTTTGCATGTAGTGATGCTACTGCTGGCTCCTGCCCACAGCTTTCAGAGGGCGCCTCATTTTTACATAGCGGTATCTCTGTCATTACTGTGACAACCAGTGTAGATATTGTCAAAATGAACTGCACTTCTAGAAGACATACTGTGCTATGTTACATTCCTCCGGATGGTAAGTCCAGGGGGAGGAGGAGCAACAATATTTGAAATAAAAACCTGGGCAAAAAGAGGACAGGAAGTCAGGGTTATGTGCAAACTAAAGCGTATTTATTCAATATTCAACAAAGGAAAACCAATTCAAAACTACTCTCTCAAAAGGAGACAGCGAGCCAACAAGGTAAGGCAACAATAACCACAGGGTAAGTAACTGAGGGAGCAGGGTTCAACACTAAATGAACCGCTGAAAAGTCCTCTCTCCACTGAGGGAGGTGACCAGACACTGTTCTGGACTCACGGAAGCTCTACGCTGGTGTTCAACCCACTGGTGGAATGGGCTGTCTCTGTACGCTGGGCTGACGGGCTGGCAGTGGCCCGTTCACAGTTGTTGGTCTGCAGTGTGGTCGCAACAGGTAGAAAGGGAAACAGACCGACTGCTGTGAAAAAAACCAAGCCTTCTTATGCTCCAGGCACTGAGTGGTGATCAGGCACACCTGCTGCCACTCACTCATGCAGCCAAGGCATGGGACGGAAGGGCCACTAACTGAGAGGGAGAAGGAACACACAACCCAACCCAAACACACGACCCGTAGGGTCATAACATGATATTAGCATTTTTTTTATTACATTTTAGTGTCTCACTCACACACTGGCAACACACACACATTACGCACCGTTTCTTAAAAGACATACTCTGCTCCTTTAAAGCGCAGTTCACACTACACGATTTTTAGCCCGATTTGCTGGTTGGAGAGCTCGGAGACTGTCGGGCTGTGATCGGGGTAAATCAGCGGTGTGTCTGCGGTCGCCGGTCGTTATGTGTGAACTACACAACGACGCATCAAAACATCTTTTTACTCCCCTCCAGCTCTCTCTGTAGCTCAGACAATCCCTGCTACCTGCGTGTGCTAATCCATTCTTTCACCCAAATTCTTTGTCTTTATAATTTCTGTCTTTATAATGACAAACAGCTGTTTCATGTGGAGGTTCCCGTTTTGCATTTCACTTGTGTTTTCTTGATAAAACGTGGTTTGGAGACCAGCGTCGGGTGACACAGCCATTGTCAACTCGTGTATCGTGTGACCCCCTGTCACCGATCAGTCACGTAGTGTGAATGCCACAACCACTTCAAGACTCCCGTCACAAGAAAGTCGTGTGGTCTGCACGAGCCTTAACAGCACCTGTCACGTAGATGTCCTTTGAAGAATGAGGAGAGGAAGCTAGCCAACCCGTTGAATGTTACCATGCTTGCGCAGTGCGAGTGAAAACATTAATTGCTCATTGATGCTAATGATTGTGAAATTTTAGTAGCATTGCTCATTCATTTAGCAGCAGCGATGTGCCAAATATAGGGGGAACAACGTTCTCTGTTATGTAGCACCACAGATTGTCCAGTCGCTGCACTTCTGAGTTCCACCTTTTCTGTTCTGTTAATATTAACGTTATCAATTAACATTTAGAAAATTGTTTTTTGACATTTGTAAATCGACACGTTCGCATCTCCATGCATCTAAGAATAAATTTTTCCCCATCCCTACATAGTGTGATAATGTAAAATAAAAAAATTTCACACCATGATATAGTGTGACACCGGCGTTCATCATTCCCGAAATTCTCACAGTTTCCGAATTCCTGCCCCTGAAGCATACACTATATATTTAGTGATAAACAATATAAATTTTAAAATCCTTTCTGATCCTTTTCTTTGTATGCTTCGCATACACCAGAACCATATCAGAACCATCTGATAAAAACACTGGAAGGTCTGCTAACACAAACCTTTGTGAGAGAGCAGAGCTCACTGCAAACCTGGAGTTTCAATTAATGATATGACAGCAGGACATGATGTTAGAGGAGCTGCGTTGGGTTAAGAAAATGTCAGCTATGTTTCTCAGATTCACCATGCATCAGAAGTGCTGCTGTTACTTTGAACTTTACTTTCACAAAACACTGTAGGAAATTATACAAAATATTGCAGGAAACTGTCATATTGAGCTGTACTAAAAATCTTGGATAGTACTTGGCCTAAGCCTTTATTCACTGACAAACTGTAACCTTAACTGTACATTTACTGCTAAACTCCACTGCTTACATTTTCCTCTTCTCTGCTGCATTCACCTGCTGCTCGCTCTCTTAAGCTCAGTCACTTAACATGCACACAAGAAGGAGCAACTAGTAAACAAGAAAAAAGCCTCTGTCCCTGTTTTGGGAGTATTTTGGGGTTAGTCCCAATGATATAGGTGAGCTAGTCAACACGGAAGAAGCTGTGTGCACATAATCTTTGTTCAGCCCACTGATGTGTTGGTATCTGAAGCAGCAGCAACAAGTGTCATTGGGTCCTTCAGGAAGAACCTATGAGAGAGGGTGCTGATTTCCTATTTATTAATTGTTCTATAGGCCATAAGTATTTAATCCCAGCAGGCCTAAGTAGGCTAACTGCACATTAGATACACAGCATTGTAGGCTAAATGGTCATACATGCTGCAATGACTTCACCAGCAGCTCAGCTTTTATGTTTCCTTTTTAGTTTTTTTAGTTTTTCTTTAACAAATATTCTTATATAGATACTGCCGAAGTCTAATTGGGATGTCCCCTGTCTTTACTGTTGTCTTTGATACGTGTACACTAATATTTAAATGTAACATTGACTATAGAATGACGATCTGGTTTTCATTCATCACTTGCCTTTGAATGTTCAGTCTGTTTTTGATTTAGCAAGAAACTCAAAAACATGGCTGAGAAAGGCGGTATATTGTTATTGCTACCATCATCTTACCCTAAACAATTAGCTTTCCTTATTATGAGACACTAAATCAAATGTGCTAAACCTTTTGTGGGTGCTCATTCGACATAAAGGTACAGTATTGTATCAAAAGAATGGCAGCACTTGCAGAATACATCACTGTTGAAAATATGTCATTGTTTCTGTGTCGTGCAGTTTGATACGGGACTCATCAACAGCAATATGTTGCATATCGAAATGCAACTCAAAAACATTCACATAAATGAACGAGAATGGTTTGTTTCCCAGGTGAAGTGGACCATGGAGGTGCTGTGCTACGGACTCACCCTCCCCCTTGAGGGCGACACTGTCAAGCTGTGTGTGGATGTGTACACAGACTGGATGATGGCCCTCGTGTCGCCCAGGGACTCGATGCCTCAGCCTGTGGTGAAGGAGCCTAATATGTACGTCCAGACCATCCTTAAACATCTCTACAACGTCTTTGTACCAAGGTATGTCAGAAATGTTCACAAACGAGCTTTTATCTCCCGTTAGCTGTAGTTTTCAAATTTAAATGTATACTCAATGCATATTGTATATTTGTTTTTGCACATTACACACTTACTGCTGTTCTCTTTACACTTTCTCTCTGATTCCTTCTCTCTTTCTGATTTCCTCCCTGTCCCATCATTTCAAACTCCCTCTAGGCTTGACCAGCACAGTCTGAATCACATCAGGCTTTGCCAGCAGGTCCTGACTGCAGTCCAGAAGTTGGCACGAGAGTCCGTTTCCATGGTGAGGGAAACCTGGGAGGTGCTTCTGCTCTTCCTGCTTCGTATCAACGACACATTACTTGCGCCGCCTACGGTTGGAGGTATTTCCCTTCCTGTCCTACACAACTTGTATTCACTTAGTTAATAATCATTACGAATAGGGCAAAACACCAAGGCATTGTAACATAACGAAGTGTCGTCAGCCCAAATACTTCACCTGCTCTGCACACAGCGTTGCTGTCTTCCTCTTGGCTCTAAGATGCTGTTTAAAGTTAAAAATATATGATTACAATTTCTGATTTCATGGGCTATTTTGCATAATGAATAATCATTTAAAAAAATTAAGCATTCAGTTTTATAAGTTCAATTAATAATTGTGATTTCAATTACGACCAAAATAATCACGATTATGATTTTTGCCATGATGGAGCAGCCCTGATGTCTAATCTCAATAATCTAACATTTTCCTCTCTTTCAGTTGGGGTGGCAGAGAAACTGGCAGAGAAATTGATGGCAGTGCTGTTTGAGGTGTGGCTACTGGCATGCGCCCGCTGTTTTCCCACACCACCATATTGGAAGACAGCAAGGGAGATGCTGGCCAACTGGAGACACCACCCTCCTGTTGTAGAGCAGTGGAGCAGAGTGGCCTCCGCCCTGACCTCCAGGTGAGAAAAGCATCAACTCAACTTTACACTAATGCTGAAAAAGGTTTCATACAGTTAGTCACTGAATGTGAGTTTTGTTTATGCTTGTATTATTGAGTAAGTATTGAGTCGTTTGATAAGAGTATTGATAGTTTGTTACTTGATTTGTCTAACCTGTTTAACTCCTGTGCCCACAGATGGGAGAAGCAACACTGATTTTGAACTAGACAGTTAGCATATGTTTTGGTGGTTGTAATAATGACTTTAGGATAAATGAAAAGTGCCTGTAATCTCTACTGAGTGTGATCATCTGTACATTCCTGTCTCACTTCTACAATCCAGGCTTTTGCGCTTTACCCACGGACCATCCTTCCCACCTTTTAAAGTTCCTGATGAAGATGCCAACCTGATTCCTTTAGAGATGGACAATGACTGTGTGGCACAGACGTGGTACCGCTTTCTCCACATGCTTAGGTGCATAAAACCTAATTTTTCTGGGTTCAAATATGAAACTAATTGAGACAGAGGATCGTACATGTGTAAGAGAAGTTGGACAGAGTGGAAATGAAGAAGTACCTCATATCACTCTCTTACCATCAAATATTTCCCTTCTTCTTCCTCTATATACTCTACTTCCTTCCTTTATAAAATGTCTCCTTTAACACTAATTCGATTGTTGCTCACTTGTTATGATTTAATTCATCCTTTGCGTCCTTCCTTCTTCTATTCATGCATTCATCCTTTGTCCTTCTTTCTTTGCATTTTTCATGCTTTGGTCCTGCTCCAAAACATCTTCCTCATGCTGGCAATGCAGCCAAGGTCCAACATTAGAAAATTCATTCATACTCATCATCATGAAACCTTAAATGTTAAAGCTGGGATAGGCACCTTTGGAGAACTAGCAAGAGACCACTAGATTTAAGTATACAACTGAAAAAAATCTCCCCCCTTCCTTGAGACCTACTTTTTTTTTGAGTAGGTAGTTCCCAGAGAAAACTCTGCTCTGAACTGCCTGAAAACAGCTCGTTTGTAGTCTAGCCGCTTCCCTTTCATCCCTGTGACGTCACAGGGATGAAAGCAGATGCGCCTCATATAACGCTCACCAAGCGGCTAGTCTGACACGCCCTCAAAAACACCATTGGAAAAACAGTGAGCTGCAGCACACAGCTCTCCTCTCCCTTCCAAACACTAGCTACCCTCCAGGCAGTCAGTGGACATAAAGTTGTTCCTGTGATGTAGAGACGGAGCTCAGTTAAAACTTTATGGATGAAAGATACTTTTGTTACAGATTAATAACTCACCGCTCTGAAACTCTTGCTCCAGTCCATGTTGCTAAGCTGATCGGCAACATGTACAGCTGAACAGAAGCTGTTTACGGGCTTCACACTGACCCGCCCTTCTCTGCTTCTGATTGGCTAGTAGTCCTTAACTAGGAACTGTGCATGTGCAACTGCCAACAAAGATCATTTAAAGACAAGATTTATCACTCCATAGCTAAAACAAAGCCTTCAACACAGTTGATGCAGCATGAAAAAAATGTGTTTTTTGAAAATGAAACCATGTAAACCTGTTCTGGAACAACCCCTAAATAAGATTTTGAACCTGAAAATGGTAAGGTAGGTTCAGGTAGGTAAGTAAGCAGACATGTCGGCCAGCCAATCATTTCATTCGGACCGAATCATTTTTGTGTCAGAGCATTTGATTTATTGATTACTGTCGGGATGTAAAGAGAATACAACAAATACAAAAATGGTTATGAAATGAATTGCCTACCCCAGCTTTAAAGTCACATCACATTTTTCTTTTGTGGTTGGTTTCAAATGTGTTGAGAATGTAAAAATAATCATGATATAGTCATCTCTGTGTTCCAAGCCATGGCAGATTCAGATATTGGTTATATCCAAATAAGCTTGAGCTGCATCTTTAAGCTTTTTGCTCAATCCATAAATTTGTCTTCTCTCTTCTTTCTCTGTTTTGTTTGTAGCAACCCAGTCGACCTGAGCAATCCTGCGATAGTGAGCACCACTCCAAAGTTTCAGGAACAGTTTCTCAACTCCAGCGGTATTCCTCATGAAGTGGTGCTGCATCCCTGTTTGAAGCAGCTACCCCAGATCTTCTTCAGGGCCATGAGGGGCATCAGCTGCCTAGTGGATGCCTTCTTGGGTAAGAGGATGCTTAATTAAAATGAAAAGCTCAGTCATGGGACATTTCAGAGGAACTGACTTGTTAATGTTCAAACAGAGGAATACATTTCAGAATTAAATGAATGTGTTTTAGCACATTTTAGAAGTAAGATACTTCAAGACATATTAGCATTACAGCTCATTTTTCAATGCATGATAATGCGTGATAATGTTGAATGTGTTATTCCTACCTTCTAGGCAGCTACCTGCTTTTGTATTGTTTTCTGCATTACACACAAAAGAGATAATAAAAACAGACATAGTGTTTATTGTGATCTCAAGCAAATTTTAGGTGGCTAAAGGTTAATTATCATACTGAATTGAAATCCAATGGTGCTGGAAGGTAGGAAAATAAATTCAAAAATATTGTTTAGAAAAGGTTTGTAAAAGGTAAAGCGTATTTGATTTGTAGTGTCAAAACATGCTAAAAAGAATAATTTAAATGGTTGATTACCGGCATTCATTTCTTGTTATTCTTGGCACTACTTCTGAGTAAAATCTTGATGGAGAATGTCAGTACGTACCTGTTTGTACATTTGAATAGAAATGGTGTGTCAGTGTGTTTTTCTCTTTACACTGTAGGTGTCTCTGTTGAAAAGAGAGATGTACGGGAGAGGGTGTTCTCTTTTTGTCCAGTGCTGCTCTCTCATGGTACAGACATCAGCTGATACATCATATAGAGCGATGGGCATATGATGGAGCGGTCTATTTATTGGTGGTGATGATATTAACAGCTCGGGGTAGTCTTGATATAGCGGAATGTCACAGACATTCAGACTCAGCTACAAGATCATCAACAAGGGGTCTCTTGCGGGCACAAAAAGTCAATCAAGATGGATGAATATCAATTATTGCTGATTCGTATCTAACCATTGTCTTGCATGTCTACAAATTAATGTTGTCTATGATCAACTCACAATTCTGAAGCCACCTTATTTTCTTCTCTCTCGCATAACGGTAGAAATGGGGAAAATGGCTTCAAATGATTTCAATTAACCCATAAAACTTTCTGTCCACTGGAAAAGTGGCCGGATGACGATCTTTTTGTTGTTTACTGAGGCTAATCAGAAATGTGTTTTCCATCTGCTGTGGAGGGAAAAACACAAACTTTATTCTCTTGCTCATTTTACTTTCCTGTCAACAGGTATATCACGTCCTAGAGCTGACAGTGCCCCGCCAACCCCAGTCAACAGAATGAGCATGTCCCCGCCGCCCTCTATCACCAACACCACGCCCCCTCACAGTCGCAAGCAGCGGCATACAGTGGCCACCAAAACCGCAAGCAAGAGTTCAACTGTAAGTTCAAGTTTGCATTCAGTCATAACAAATGATAAGTGCAGAGTTAGAAAACGTCTAGATCTCTATTTTTGTTTTAATTGTTGTATGAGATTTGAAGTTGATCTACAGACAGAACAGATCTTATACATTTGTGACACCTTTTTGTTGCCTCTATAAAGCTAATACTAACCAAGATTTTTATAGAAGAATACAGGACACATGTCTCATTTAGTGTGTGTGTGTGTGTGTGTCTTGTGTGTCTCCTGCCATTTGTTTTGTTCAATTTATGTGACAAATCCCAAGAAAGTATCTTTTTGTGTGTGATCCGTTAGTTACACTATTCTCGAGGTAACAACCTAATCAGATATCTTCCTCTATCCCTCCCCATCCTGCAGGGCAGTGGTAGTCAACCAACCAAAGCATCCCAGCAGCAGCAGCAGCAGCAGCAGCAAACTTCGTCGTCCCCCACCCTGCTTTCCAGCCCCAACCAGAGCAGTTGGGAGTCTCGGCCCCTTCCGGCCCCAGCACGGCCAAAGGTCAACAGCATCCTCAACCTGTTTGGCCAGTGGCTTTTTGATGCTGCACTGGTCCACTGTAAGCTCCACAGCGGCCTCAGCCGAGACCCCAGCATGACTGGTAAGAAGCGAGACAATGGCTAATAGAATTTTCATATATGCATGGGCAGGTGGGTGTTTTGTTGCTATTCATTAGTATGTGTTTTTGTGCAGTTATCTGTGTTTTTGGTGTCTGTTATTTTTTTACTGTATTTCGTTGGGATATCCTTTCTTTTTTTTTTTACCATTTTCTCTGAAACTTGTTTGTACCTTTCTGTGTGGAGGGCTTGGTTAGAAGTGGTCTGGTATGAGATTCTCATCAGATTCTAATCCATTTACATCTACCAACTATTTGAACCTGGCAAACTACATTTAGACTGTAACCATATGCTAAGGACCTCATACAGTCATTGTATTGGTAAAATCATCTCTAGAGGAGTCAGTGACAGCACATACAGCATACTTGATATTTCAAAATAAATTTGGCTCATCCATTTATTGTTCTCTTTTTGGTGTAGTGTCCTGCACGTGTCTACCATGTCTGATTAATGTTAAAGCGTTGTAATGGGTCAAAAGTCATGTATTGAGGAGAACAAAAAAACACAATTCATGCCTGGTATGAATTGATCCCAAAATATTGGATCTGCTTTGATTTTGTCTCTCTCCACTATTTCTGTTATCTTGCAGCCTCTTTTATCCAAATTCTCCTTTCTTATAAATCTTGTAAGTAGGAACGGCAGCTTTTTTCCCTCGTTTCTTGACAAATGTTCCTGCTTTTTAGTTGAGTTCCTCATGATCATTGCCATTATCGCCATTGTTTTCTGTTCCCACTGCTTGTCATATAAAAAAACGTTCACCAGCAGTCTCTCAGCGTTTCTCCAAAGGTGATTGAATGGGTTTCACCAACTGACCACTTGTCTCGACCATAATGTTGCCAGTTTGTGACAACGCTACCCTGTTTTAAGTTCTCATTTTCTTTTACTTTGGTCACACTAATCCTTATTATTTAGTTTCAGACCCCCCTCAAGTTCAGCATTATTGTTTTGTTTTTTGTAATTTCCTTTTGTATTGTCAGGTCACTTGAATTTTGATTTTATTGGTTTGATGCCTCAATGCATGAAATGAATGTTCTGTGCCTTAGGTGACGGTCATATAATTGCAACATCAAGGGAGCTGATACAGGGATTTTGCTTTGTAGTCTTGCAGTTGAAAATATATTATTACCATCGCTACTACACTACAGTTTTAGGGAGAACTTTTATGGCAAACTCCTTGTGTCAGAGTCCCCTTTTGAATGCTTTTAAATGATGTGAGTGTGTGTTTGCTTTGTTCTCTCTTGTTGTGATAGCGAATCTGCGATCTGCTTTGTGGTGCTTTTTTTTTTTTTTCAAATTTTTACAGTTTACTTTTTATTGTAGTGTGCTTATAGCAACATGTTTGCCTGTTTCCCATACATGCATGTAGACTAATGACCGCATTACAATTGAGGGTCCTTTCATTCTCTGTCTCTTCTCACTCTCTACAGCGATAGCCACTCAAGTAGGTCTGGAGCTGAGAAGGAAGGGTTCCCAAATGTCCACCGACTCCATGGTGTCCAACCCCATGTTTGATGCCAACGAGTTCCCAGAAAGCTACGAGGCAGGACGAGCTGAGGCCTGCGGGACTCTCTGTCGCATCTTCTGTAGCAAGAAAACTGGAGAAGAGATTCTGCCTGTTTACCTGTCCAGGTAACATAGTCAAGTTATTTTTTTTAATAATGCCAAGTTGTAATTCATTCATCAGTCCAACTGTGGGAATGCTATTTTGGTGATGTCACAAACTGTGCAAATATTCCTCTTTCTCTTTCTGCAGGTTCTACATGGTTCTCATTCAAGGTCTCCAGATCTCCGATTTCATCTGTAGACCAGTTCTTGCTTCCATCATTCTCAACTCTTCCTCTCTCTTCTGTACTGACCTGAAAGGCATCAATGTGGTGGTGCCCTACTTCATAGCTGCCCTGGAGACTATTGTACCTGACAGGTTAGACTGGTAGTATGTTACACAAGTTTTGGATCACTAAACATGTAATTTGCATCTTTTATCTACTGGATAACATTTTCAGATGATGCTTTTAGTGAGATTTCTCTTCAGAGGTTTTGAGAATATTGTCTTATGTTTCTTTAAGTCCATGAAATTTGTTTACTCCATCAGAGAGCTGTCCAAATTCAAGATTTATGTAAATCCTACCGACCTGAGGAGAGCCTCCATCAATATCCTGCTTGCCATGCTGCCATTGCCACATCACTTTGGCAACATCAAATCAGAGGTAACAGCTTTGGCATCTGTGCATTTTTTTTATTTGAAAGCTGCCACTTTGGTGCAGGAATTTGTATGTATATGAGTTTGTGGTCTATATTGAATGTTTTTCCTTCTGTCATTGCAGCTGTTGTATGTGAAATTCTTGTTAAAACATTTTTCACATTGTAGAGCCACTTGTAATTAAAAACAAGTACGCCAGGTTCTTAACCTTGATGTTGTGTTTCAGGTTCTGTTGGAAGGAAAGTTCAATGAAGAGGATGGGTGGCCTCATGACCAACCCGTGTCTTTCCTGTCCCTGAGGCTACGTCTCGTCAATGTCCTTATTGGAGCACTGCAGACTGAGACTGACCCCACCAACACACAGCTCATCCTGGGTGCTCACACTGGCTTCTTCATAACCTCTATCTATTTATTTTGCCTCTCCATATAACTTGTGCAGTATTTTTGCTGACTTAAACCATTTTTGGACTGTGCTTAAGTCTATTAAAGTATATTATTCTATATCAATCACGCTTTATTATTCACCTCCCCTCAGGTGCAATGCTAAATATTGTTCAAGACTCAGCACTGTTGGAGTCCATAGGTGCACAGACTGAAACGGTAAGGCTCAGGTCACTGCTGTTATCTGCTGATAAACAATTAACATTTTATAATGATAGAAGCAGTTTGGTGGACTGGACATCAAGATCGCTGTGTTTTTGTGGTGTTAGGGGAGTATAGATGGGAACCACATGACAGTGAGTAGTCAGAGTCACAGCCGTACCAACAGTGGGATTAGTTTCACCAGTGGGGGCAGCACGGAGGCCACCAGCCCAGACTCTGAGCGTCCTTCCCAAGCCTTGCTTCGAGACTACGGTAAGACGCACGGCGGCTTCACATAAGCTTTAACAGATTGTGCTTGCTAAAACATGCAACTTATTAAATTAACACATCTGTTGTTTATAGCTAACGTGGTTAAAGTGGTATGGAGAGTTAAGAAGCGTTGGGTAAAATGTCTCTGTAGGTGAAACCAAAGTTATTTGCTGTGCTTGTGTGCCATTGAACAGTTTGGCACTGAGACATGTGGAGTGCCTGAACTATTTTTTATTTTTTTTTTGTCTTAATTGATTGGTTGCAACAGTGTTGCCTAATCAAAAGACTTTGTCTTTTTCTCAGTAGGGCTGAGCGATATTTGATTAAATTGTGTTCGGACAGTGGAATGTGGGAAGCATTGTTTGATTCTTTTGATGAATAGATAATCACCACTCTCATTTAAATCTGACTGTGTGTGTGTATATAATATACACTCACTGGCCATTATATTAGGCACACCTTGCTAGTACTGGGTTGGACCCCTTTTGCCTTCAGAACTGCCTTAATTCTTCATGGCATGCTTTCAGCAAGGTGTTGGAAACATTCCTCAGAGACTTTCGTCCACATTGACATGATAACATCACACAGTTGCTACAGATTTGTCGGCTGCACCTCCATGATGTGAATCTCCCGTACACACATACACACACACTGTGCTGCTTATAGGAGAATTTGTCCAGCAGGAAGTGGGGATTCCTGTGGAATGGGAAGATTTCATTGTGTTGTGAGGCTCAGTGCTGGACAGGAAAACCATAGACTTGTGGGCGGGTAGGAGTTTCACAGCATGATTGGGGAGTTTTTGCTCATAGTGAATGCTTTCCCTGCTTTCTAAAATTGGAGTCAGGTCTACATCTGAGACAGGCTCAGTAAGCTCATCAAACTTTTAATCACAGTTTAAAGCATTAGTCTTCCTCAGGTTTTTAGGTAGAAACTCTGAAATGGAAACCCAGCTCAAGAAATATTTATTCTGGATGAGACAGAATTAACAGCAAAAAAGGTGTGCTTATTATGAGGAGAAATGAAATGGGACCAGGGAGAAGACAACATTTTTTACTTGAGCCACAGCCTTTACATAAGGCTCTGTTACGTCCACTGCTTAACACTTTTCTTCTTGAACAAAGCCGAACTATTCAAGCAACTTACCATTCTTGTTCAATACAGTCAGCCTTCGCTTTGCTTTGCAGTGCTTTTTTAAGCCCTACAAATTATAGGTTATACTGAGAAAGTATATGATTCTATCTGACAAGTTGTGACTACCCTCTTGTTTCAGTGTCCACTCCAAATGAACCAATTAAACATATTCTGAGAAATTATAGTTATTATATTACAGAAAACCAATTAATTTTTTAAATCAGATTTGCCTTGTAAATAATTTAATTTAGTCAGTTTTGGATGATTATAACATGCATAAAAGTTTTCTTTTCTTTTAAAGTCAAAACTTGATCGCTCAGTCCTAATTCTCAGCCGTTTATTCAGTTCTTCAGTCTACCCTAATTTGTCTCATCTTTGTGTGCTGTACTGATTTCAAACTTTATTCTAATGCATCTTTTCAATACCAAGACAAATCTGCTAACTGGGCATCCAGGACATTTTTCCTGTTGTCCTGTATACCTTAGCTGTGTTGCCTGAATCCTGCTTTGCTCTGTTCTTTGCGGTGTTTGGTATTTTGGGGTGTTATATGGTCTAGCTCTTCCAGATACGGCGGCAGGCCTGCTGGTGCGCAGCATCCATCTGGTCACTCAGAGACTCAACTCACAGTGGAGACAAGATATGAGCATTTCACTGGCTGCCCTGGAGCTGCTGGCTGGGCTTGCCAAGGTAAAGGTACAATGTCCAATCACCACAGAGACTCAGTGTAATCTGCGATCATTACTAACTGGCCAGTCCAAGGTGAGACTATTGTATGTCTTTTAGTTCACCCAAGTCGCAATACAGCAGATATTACCACTATCTTTATAAAACCATAGCTGTTGCTGCAGGTACAGGAAATCTTAGATTTGCACCTCTGTGAACAAGGCTTACAGGAAAAACACCTACTCAATCACGTTTACTGAAAGTCTGTCTGTTATTGTGGCAACAGATGTTGTACTACATGTTAACTTGATCATAAGCCCACTGCTCCCAGTTAACCAGTGCACATCCTGCCCAAATGAGACAATCTAGCCTCACAGAGAACAAAACTAATGGTGCCTTCAGGTATATTACCAGAATGAGAGACGTTTCTGGACAGAGCCTGCAAATTTCTTTGCCTGGTTATGACTGTACAGTTGGTCCCAGTTCACCAGTGTACCAACTAAGACAGGCTGCTATGACGTGTCAGTTTTCAAATAGGGTCAAATTAGTATAATAGACAGTAATTGGTTATAAAATGTAAACATCAGGCACTTAATATCACACAAATGAAGTGTGCTGAGGTGCAGAAAGAGATGAGGCCAACGCACCCTTTAGGCTTTAAATTGACATCAATGCTAGTTCTAACAATACTGTGGAAACTTTAAGTTAAAACCACAAATAATCAAATGTGTTACAATTTAGTAAAACTGCCAATCACTTCTGCAGGTAAAGGTGGGAGTAGACTCTGCAGACCGTAAGCGTGCTGTTAGCTCTATATGTGGGTACATTGTGTACCAGTGTAGCCGTCCAGCTCCTCTTCAATCCCGAGACCTCCACTCCATGATTGTTGCTGCCTTCCAGTTTCTCTGTGTGTGGCTCACAGAACACCCTGACATGCTGGATGAGAAGGTAAGACTGAATAAAATTGTCCATGTTATATGTTGTTTGGTTAGAGAAGGGCACAAGTTTATTTGGTAAAATTAAACTTTTACGAACTTTTACTGACTTCTTCTCTTAGTCTGAATTTTACAGGAACATTTTGTTTTTAATTATCTTGTGGTAAGTTTTAGTGTAAGCCTCATTTATATGGAAAGCAAAATGTGCACTCTGAAATTCTGTTCCCTGTGTTTTGTTTCTTTTTGGATCAGGATTGTTTGGTAGAGGTGTTGGAGATTGTGGAGCTAGGAATCTCTGGCAGCAAGTCCCGACAGGAACAGGAAGTGCGACATAAAGGGGAGAAGGAGCACAACCCAGCTTCAATGAGGGTGAAGGACGCTGCTGAGGCAACTTTGTCCTGGTGAGATTCCCTGCAGTTTCTATAGTATGAATCAGAGTTTAAAGTTGGTTGATGGAGTTAATGCACTGTGTTACACTTTCAACATGCTTGTACAGAAAAAGCAAACAATGTTCAAAATGCTCCTATTTTATCTTGTTACTTAAACCAACTGAAATTAAAATTGAGCCTGGGACGTCATATGTATCTGCTCATTTGCTAGTTCTGGGCCGTCTTTTAAGGGGGACAAAGCACCCAAAAATAAAAAACTGTACTTTTCTGTTACCAGAGACCATCCTCCACCAGAATCTTGCTGGCTAAATTGGCTTTTCTGTATATCTCCAAAATTGAAACAATAAAATATTATCAGTTATACATTTGAATATAACTTTTACATTATTTTTGACTCCTAAAGGAATTTTAAAACTTTGGTTGGACCTTAAATCCAAGTGGATGTACTAAATTATGTATTTGCTCTATTTTTCTGCTGCTACAATGACCTAGTTTCCCCGGTGTTTCTGCTGCAACCCCACAGCACATAGACGACTAATAGAACAGTGTGCTGTACCTATTGCCCAAGTTCACGTATATTTATGTTCTTGCTGGTTTTGCTGTGGTGTTCCCCAGTATCATGCAGGTGTTGGGGGCCTTCCCTTCACCCAGCGGGCCTGCCTCCACCTGCAGCCTGCTGAATGAAGACACCCTGATTCGCTATGCCAGGCTCAGTGCCACAGGAGCCAGCAACTTCCGCTATTTTGTCCTGGACAACTCTGTCATCCTTGCCATGCTGGAACAACCTCTCGGCAATGAGCAGAGTCAGTAGCTTGTCATCCATCTTTGACGTAATACAGGTTTATTGGGATATCGGGGAGGATAAAGGTGTTACTTTATTCATTTTCAATGTACAAGTAGAGACTGTATCACCTGCTAAGTACCAAGCACTGGTAAAATTAAAATCACTAACCGAGAGACCATCACTTTTCTTCATAAATGAGAGCATCTCTGTCCTCACAGACCCCAGTCCATCAGTGACGGTCTTGATCCGAGGGACAGCTGGCAGACATGCCTGGACCATGCAGCTCTTTCACCAACCCAGAGGAGCTCGGGCCAGTCAGAGGGTGAGATCACACTGTTGACTATTGTGTCATGAAAGACGACGATGCTGAACCAATTTCATTTCAGAAAGGTTTTAAAATCTCATGGTAATGATTTGCTTTGGTAAAACTTGTTGCTCCACATCGGTTTAACTGAAGTTCGCTTCATCTCTGTCTACTTCTCTCCTTCCACAGCAGGTGTTTGTTCCCGAGGGCCGCCCAACGCCCAACAACTCTGTGGGGATAAAGTACAATGTGAAGCAGAGACCTTTCCCTGAAGAGGTGGATAAGATTCCTCTTGTCAAAGCTGATGTCAGTATTCCTGACCTGGACGACATTGTCAGTAAAGAGGTGAGATTTGTTTCCTGTTGAACCCTGTCACTGAGCTTGTATCCACATTATGACTAATTAAGCTACAACATGATTGTTTGTTGTCGTGGCTAAAATAGAGCCATGCAGTAAATTAATAACTCATAGTATTTGTTATTATGCAAACCTAGGTGTGTTGTATGGGCTGGCAGGATGATTCGAGAACTGCAAATACACTGAGTTATTACCCACACGTGAGTTATTGTAGAGAAACTTCACTTGGGTGTCTCTTGGTATAAAGGGTCAACTTATTTAGCTTGGTGACAAACAAATGATGGTCCTTTTGTGTGGTTTCTCAATTTGTAGCTTTTAATGCAATCCAAAACTACCACTAACTTCTAGGGTGTGACGAGACGCTTAGATAACGAGATCAGGCGACACACTGTATTGGGTTCACGAAATTGAGACAAGATTTATCTCTATTTTTAAGGAATTTTCATCATGCATTATAGTAAAATTTTGTCCATTAAACATTTAATTTCTTGCATTCTGGTGAGATTTTGGGAGCAATTTCTGCCTTTTCTGCATTAATTTATAGTAGAAATGATAAATTATTTCATTTTAATTCGCTTATAAACTCCTGGGCTTTATTAGCTCCTGTGTTTCAGCAGGTTTTCTGGTTTTTCACAACTTTCTGCACATTCAAAAACTATCCCACATATCTGTTTTCTCTGACATTACTAAACTAACGTCAATATTTAATGAGAATTCATCATATTTTTTAAAAGTCTACCTGCCCTATATTGCTCTGCTGATATGGCTGTATCCCCTTCAGACCATTGACAGATGCCGAACCCCGTTTGGGACTGTACTGGATGAGACAAGGAGGTGGAAACCGAAACTAACTGAAAACACTTGATTAGACAAATCTTGCGACAAATCCACACACGTAAACTTCAGCACCTCTGATAAAGTGCAGCTTACAGTCTCAAACAGAGCAGGTTTGCACTTCTGTTTTTATTATGTTTATTTTCTCCCGAGCATCAGTGATATCAGTGAGGTGAGGTGCCTACGCAGAGCACAAAGGATACTAAAGGACAGCACCCACCCAGCCACAGCCTGTTCACCCTGCTGCCTTCTGGGAAGAGAGATAGAAGTTTCTGCTGCTGCACCAGACTGCAGAGCATCAGACTCTTAAACTCTTAATTCATCCTCAGCACTGCTCCAGTGATGAGAGTTCATTTCTGTTACCATTTCTCATAATTGATTCTCTATTAATGTATATTGTCTGCTATGTAGCAGAAGGGAGTTACAAAACTCAATTTCACATTACAACTTGTCGTATTATGACAATAAACCTACCTGCCTATATTGCAGCTATACCAGCTACTTTACAACTCGTCACAAACCGGCTGCGACTCACAGTGTGAGAGGGGGGTGCACTTCATTAATAGCCACTGGTGTCGCATCAGCTGGTTAGGGATGATTTGCGAAGGAGTCGACTATCTGTTTCACATTTGTTTTTCACGGCGTAAGAGAATTGATTTGTGTGAACAGTGTCAATTGCGTGGGTCTCGCAAGACAGGTTTTCCCCTAATAAGAAATATTGTCACGTTTTAATCTCGTCACACCCTACTAACTACCCTCTGAAAAATGACCAAAGAGTTGAATCAACACCTCTCTGATGGTGTTCAGAAAGTGAACTTTAAAAGCTTCACAAAGAGTCAATTTATTGAGGGCTGTTGTAGGGTTGGGCTGGTAGACCATGCCATCGTCTAGTGACTTTTTTCACATCAACATTGGGAGGTGACACCTTATTATTTGGACTGTGGGACTTGCCCTTTGTGGTTGTGTGTGTTTTCATTTTTTATTTATGCAGTCGAGTCACAGCCTCTTGCCACATCCCCTTTTTGTTTTCAGCTGGAAGTTCAGCACGACAAGCTTCGTATTCTGATGACCAAGCAGATAGAGTATGAGAATGCCTTGGAGCGGCACAGCGAGGAAATCTGGATGTCCAGGTGTTTCCCTGACCCACAGACAGACTGCAAACCCCCTCCGCCCTCACAAGAGTTCCAGACAGCACGGCTCTTCCTCTCCCACTTTGGCTTTCTGTCTCTGGAGGCGCTCAAGGTTGGTTAAAATAATTTCTGATTATTAATGAGTTTATGTATTCATTCGTTCCTGGTATATACATTTACACTAATGTTATTATCAGTATAGTTCATGTAGAATGTATGGCAAATTGATTTATTATTGATAGGAGCCCAACAACAGTCGTCTACCTCCTCATCTAATTGGCCTGGAGTCATCCTTGCCAGGGTTTTTTGATGACATTAGCTACCTGGACCTGCTTCCCTGCCGACCATTTGACACTGTCTTTATTTTCTACGTGAGGGCTGGACAGAAAAGCAGCCCTGAGGTGAGAGAACTCAACACATGATTCTGTGTGAAATGATGATTGACAAGTTTGGTTTGTATTTAATCACAACTGCAACTCACAATTGATGGAATTTAACTTAAAAATGTACAGGTGTTGACATTGGTTCTTCTTTCAGAATAAGTGTATAAAAATCTGAATAAGAATGGATGAGATCTTGTGCTTGTGGTGATCAGATCCTGAGGAATGTGGAGTCATCGTCTAGTGTCCAGCCCCACTTTTTGGAGTTCCTGCTGTCCTTGGGCTGGCCTGTGGATGTAGGACACCACCCAGGATGGACAGGACACCTAGATACCAGCTGGTCCCTCAACTCCTGCTCTGACAGCAATGATCCACAACCAGCAGGTAAGCTACTAAACTAACTACCTCATTTAGATCTGTGGAATGCACTTTATGCCAACTGTTATTTATCTAAATGTTGAAAATTCGTAGTAACTAAGTCAATGTTGAACTTTCTATTTTTAGAGGAAGCAGCTACTCCTGAGGACACGGGGGGTTCAGTGTTCAACGGGGAGAAGAAAGTCTTGTACTACGCAGATGCTCTGACAGAGATCGCCTTTGTTGTTCCATCTTTAACAGAAAATTCTGGTCAGTATTCACTGTCTTGAATATGAAATGATAGATACTGTATATGATGAGGGATTCAGGCTTGACAGAGTTGCCATTTGCCCTTTGTTGTTCCCCAGAGGAGTCATCAGTTCACAGTGACTCCACAGTGGAGGCAGACACCAACACAGACCTCATGCCTGGTTTACTAAAACAACCCAATCTCACACTGGAGCTGTTCCCCAACCATTCTGAAAATCTGGAGTCTGCCAAAAAGGTAAAGTTTGCTTTATGTGAGTGTTTACAGTTTATGTACATAATGTATGTCTATACTGCATGCTGACAGCTTTGATTATGATTTCAAATTTTTTAGCTGAGTCCTTTGGTCAAGACAAAGAGGTCATCGACTGGAAAGTCTTTCCCACCACTGGGTCCTGAGACGAAGGTGTTTGTGGTCTGGGTGGAGCGCTTTGACGATATCGGTAGGCACATATTCTTTACACTGCCCCCGTGTCCTGTAATTTGAGACTACAGGATTCAAATTAGAGGCCACGGGGGCGCTATACTCTGTCTCTATAGATTATATTCTATTTCTTTTTCTAGCATTTTCTCTTGTTCAGTTTGTAAGTTTCTGCACACAAAATATTTTAGTATGAAACATTCAATCTCTGGAGCCTAAAGTGGCTGTAAAAAAGGATTAAAAGGAATCAGTCGATTGAGGTACATGAATGTAATTGTTTTTGTGCTTTTAGAGAACTTCCCGTTGTCTGATCTCTTGGCGGAAACCAGCACGGGCTTGGAAGCTAGCATGAGCAACAGCACTTCCTGCAGGTATTCGAAAGTTTACACCCAAAACACATTGCTGCCAGAATGGAGAACATATGGTTCATGAATTGCAAGGTACAAAAATGAAGAAAAAAAACCTATTCTGCAAAACAGCATGTGCTCTGACGTGCAGGATTACAAACCGTGCATAAACACATATGGTGCAAAACAGGAAGTACAACAGTGTTTGCAGAAGCAGGCAGAGAAAAGGAACTGTGGCAACAGTTTTGTGTAACATGAATTTACGTTGTTTTCATGTACAGCAGCTCTATTGTCAAGATTTAGATATGTTGACATAAACTGATGCCATGGACCACAAGCCTCAAACTGATAGAAATGGGTTGCATTTAACCAAATGTACAAAGCCACTTTGAGAGGGTGTTGTCTGGAGGTTTGTGATCTGATGCGGTGACAACCATTCATTCACTAGTGACATAATTCATTTTTTGAACGCCGAGATCCCTTAAAAGATAACAGGTGGTTGGCATTTGTGAAGATGGCTAAATTGACTTTTTCAAAGCAAACAAAGAAGGTACATTGGGCAATTTAAATGCTGAACACAGCACCGGAAGAGGCAATTTTCTCTGCCTGCATAATTGTTTCATGTCGAATGAAAATCTATTGGCATTTACCCTTTCACTGAAGTTCTATGAGATTGCAAATCGATCTGTCAAGGTACATGTTAATGCCAAGCATAAATGAAGATAAAATATTGTTATGTTTATTGCAAATCACATACATAATTTTCCTCTGTTTTTTCTCATTGTTCCTGCTGCAGGTCAGGGTTACTAGAGAAGGATGTTCCTCTGATCTTCATCCACCCTCTGAAGACGGGACTCTTCAGGATCCGGCTACATGGAGCTGTGGGTAAATTTGGCATGGTGATTCCCCTGGTGGACGGCATGGTGGTCAGCCGCAGAGCACTAGGTAATAGCTCACATCTCTCTGTCTTTGTTTATCCGTCTATGCATTTCCTTTTTTCCTCACCAGAAAGAACAGAGGCACTAAGTCTTAATGCATCTCATGGTTACCACATGGAATCTATTCTGTTCATTGATGAAAAATATAAAAATAATATTACAGAGTTGTTGTTTTCTTTAGCTTGAAATAATCCCACACTTTGGACACTTTCTTCTTTGTCCCTCTCTTCCTCCACTTTGCAAACAGCTCCATCATAATCACGTCGTATTCACAGCGTAAGGGCGATGTGCAACAGTAATAAATGTCCCTGCGAAACACTGTGCTGTAAAGTTACATGGATTAAACGAAGCATCGATGCAAAGAATTTGTGTCTAAGCATTTTATTAATCAATTTAATCAATTTAATCGATGAATCGTTTCAGCCCTAAAAGAAATCGAGTAGCATTTATCTCCCCTCTACTGATACATTACTTTACCTTGAAAAATATAAAAATGTAGGCATACTCATTCTGATTCAGTTCATGTAGCGCCACTCTTGACCAGCAGATGGAACAGTTAGGAGCTTTGTTTGGTGGTTGCTTTGGCTTTCCAGAACATAACTAACACACAAGTGCAAATTTAAATATTTATTATATATATATATATATATATATATATATATATAATATATATTATATTTTCATGCATCAGTTGTTCCATCCATCTCACGGAATTCCTTTGTACGCTGTCTCCAAACGATCACATGTTTCTACTCTGGCCTGATAAGCTCTTGTGTTTGCATCTCTCTCCCAGGGTTTCTTGTACGCCAAACGGTCATCAACGTGTGCCGACGGAAGCGTCTGGAAAGTGACTTGTACAACCCCCCTCATGTGAGGCGGAAGCAAAAAATAACTGAGATTGTCCAGCGTTACCGCAACAAGCAACTGGAGCCTGAGTTTTACACCTCGCTGTTCCACGAGGTGGGAGAGGGAAAGCCTCACCTCTAACCCCCCTGTTCTGTCCTAACACTGGCTCACAGGCGCACACAAACACACACTTTTATCCTGTACTCATACACCATTTACAACTTTGCGTGCATACACACACACACACACACAGAATCTTTATATTTATACTGTACTGTTTTGTTATTTATATGAATACATATATCAACACTGTCTGCCTTTGACTCTGAGAGCAAAGTGTCAAAAACCATGCCAAGGTGGAAAAAGCTACATTTCTGTGTTGCAGTCACACATTGAAGATTTGGCGGAAGTTCAACAGTGACTGTCTCTCCTCATTTAGGTTATAGGTTTGTGCTTTGTGGCAAAAATGTTTTTGCTTGTCATTAACTGCAATACAATAGTTACACTGTTGGCCTTTCTGAAATTGTGAAAAGTTTGTCATTTAAACCTTGTGATAAGATTGAATTCTATGATGGTTTGGTAATACAGAGTTGTGTCCAAAATCCCGAACTACATATCTGTTTTTGTTTTAATCAAACAGATTTATGGTTGGATTTTTGCCAAGGAAATAAACGTGTCATAAAAGTATTTTATAATATCCATCGCTGCTGCTTCAAGGCAGGTGGCTTCAAGAGAACAAAGAAGTGATTGACTGCATTAACCCATAATCTAATTTTACAACAAATTTTCATCTACCTGAAAATACCTGCTAAAGTCTTCCTTGTGCGAACACATATTCGGCCATTGCAGCAGCTGACTTTTTTCCAGATGATTTATAGGACTCCTATATTGTTTTACTGTATGTGGATGTCATTTTTGACACCTGTCTCTGTGCGCGCGCGTGTGTGTGTGTGTGTGTGTGGGGCCACGTGTATGCTTGTTCAGACAGTTAAATCGTTACACTGCAGGGAGTCATAGTGACCCCTAAAAACCCCACCCCATGAATGGCATTTAAAGCTGAATTGTCACTTTAAACAAACACGAATCTCAAGATAGTAGTTTTGAAACGTTTAGTTTCCTCCTTCAAGGCGTACCCTAGAAGTGGTTTACTCTTAATGCTTGGCAACATTTGAGTTTACTGATAATGAGAGTAGTTCCAGAGCTCCTGGAGTTTGCACTTGATGTTTGCAGGGCTAATATGAAATGACCACCAAGACATTTTAGGTTTGAAGTCTCAATACCAAACAGAACTACAGCACAGTGAAGTGTCTTGCTCCTCCAAACAAATCTATAGTGTTTGATTCAACAGCCAAAACTCTCAATGTAGCTGACAGCATTATATACAGCTTGCATTTTGGCTGATCAAAGCTGTAATTTTTTATTCTTAACAAAGAAAGAGAATATGTGCAGGTTTACCTTCACAGGTTTTAGTAACTTTCTTTTTTGCTTTACAATTTGTTTCACTTTTGTTTACTCACTGTACTTTGGTTTTGATTCAAGCCCTTTCACTGTCTGCCTGTAACAATGTGAATTTATTTATCACAGAGATGGAACAGGGCAAACACCTCTAGTTTCTTTGTTATATTGGAAAGTCTTAATGCACTGAGCACATTTTATGTTTATTTTCTATTCCCTTTGGTTACCTTACATGTCTTTTTGTACTTTTGTGCATTTTGGAAGAAAACCCTGCTGAAGGAATAGTTTTATCTTGTGAAATATGAATGAAGGTGTTGTGGAGTTTTTAACCTATCATGTCTAATTGTGTGACTCACTGTGCTGTATGCACATGCCTTTTTTGGAAGGAAAAAGTACATTAAATATGCTTCAAAGACACTACATACAATCAGTCATACATTGTATCCTATGTTACTCATCTGATTGATCATATTTAAGGATTTGCCATGTACAGAAGTGGAGGATAATATGTAAATATATGATAGTGTAAGGCATTTACAAGTTGTCTGTTGCATTCCTCATCTGAAATAGGGAGAAAAGTTATGTATGTATGCAATTATGTGTGGGAGGATTACAATGGGTATTGGAATGTAACATGCACCAATTAAAACTATTATTGACATTTTAAATTCTCTCTTTCCTAATATTTGACTTTGGTTCATATGTCCATGAGGAATACAATGAATTTCTAATTTTGAACTGTTACTTTTATTAGTTAGGAGTGAAAATCATGTTAGAATAGAATGCAGACATTTCAGTTATTCTCTTATGAACATTTTCACCACAAACGGAATAAACATGCCCTGGGGCGTTAAAAAGTAGTCTGGAGTATGAATCCGGGGCGAGACCTGTGAGAGTAGGTGTGTCCCCATTCTTTGACGAGGAATTACTAAGCACCTATGAATCACTTGGGGGTACACAAAGTAACGTTAGTGAGTAATTATTGAGTCGTCACATGTTTTGGGCTGCTCTTTATGAACTAATCATTATGCAAGCCTAATGATTGTATGAATATAACCCAGTATATCAGTCTGTTCTCTGATAACTATCCATTATCATCTATTTAATCGTCGGTTCTGAGATATTAAGGAAGTACTCAGAATGGTTTGTGTTACTGATGCACTTGTTCCTGTGTCCACCAGAGGGCGCGTTCCTCTTAAATTTACTGGCTAGTTACAGGTGGGCTGCTGTTGTGAACACGGATGTAAGGTTGTGACAGGTAAGGGCCTAAATGTTGACATAATGTGTGTCACTCACAGCGAAAAGCATTGTAGCTCAATTAAAATACTTTCTAATAAATTGTTTACAGAAGTGTTTTCGACTTTTATTTAGGCAACATTTTATATTGCTAGTATTTAAGAATGGTTGCTGTTTTAATAGATATTTAATAGCATTTTTTACACTCTTTGTATGTTTTGATTAAATCTATTACTTCAAATTCTTTATATTTAGCAAGCTGTGGCTTATGTATGCTATGCTATTTAAAAACTCTTAGAAATGTCTCCACATAGCCATGTGTCCATCTTATAAATTACATTTCATTGTGTTATTCAATTAGTATTTGTAATTTATGGGTTTAATCCATAGTAAGCAGGCTGAATAAACCCACTTTAACATTCCTAGGGTCAATATGACACCTTTAATTTATTTTTATTTCCACAAATATGAATTAGTGTAAGCTACAGCGTTTGGCCATACCTTTGGTACAGATGTGTCTGTGTTTGCGTGCTCAGTGCAGAAGTGAGCTATGGCCCCTGTGTGTGTCTCCGGCACTGGGTCCCTCCTCCTCCTCCTCCTCCTCCTCCTCTCTGTCGTTTCTCTTCTCTGAACTGATCTACAGTACTGTTGCCTTGCCCGTTCTCAGCTGGTGTAGCGACCACACAGCCGGAATCTCCGCTTGTCTTTTTGTGTTACTGTTGGTGAACTTTATTTCCAGTGTGTGGCGCGGTGCGCATCACTGCTCGTGAAGGAAAACTGCTGCTGCAAAATGGACTGAAGCAACAATTCAAAAAAGTGTGGATACTAAGGAAAATATTAGTATTTCTGTAGAGAGCAACCTTTCTAAAGGTTGAATTACCATCATGGAAGAGGACGACGGGCATCTTGAGAACGGTATCCACGCTGCCAAGGACTCGGACCGACAGCAGCGGCTCAGGCTTTGTGTTTTAAATGAAATATTGAACACCGAGCGGGATTATGTTCGGACACTGCTTTTCCTTCAGTCGGTAAGTTTGATATTACCGTTTACTTTGCTTCATTATGTTCACGTTCCGCTCACCCCTACACGGGCAGAACATTACCCCAAAATCCATTCATAAATCTTTCAATTCAGTGTTTTGGTCAACGCACATGTCTTGTGCGTTTATTAGACAACTGGCGATATTTTATTAAATGACAGGCTACACTTTTCAATTCGGCATAGATACCGTACACTGAGTGGCACACGTTGCAAGAAAAAAAAACTTTAATATGTTCCCCTGCTGTATCCTACGGACACGGTATGAAGATAAACCAGCAGCAGTTTGTATTGGGCTTGGCGTGACTTTATGTAGGGGAGTTTCTCTGTCAGTATAGTTTTAACTTTTTGTCTCTGTTTTTATATGCAAACCGGCTGCAGACAGTGGACACGCTTCGCAGCTCTAGTTTACGGCTTGTTGTTGTTGCACACCGTGGCTTTCTTCGCAACGGCGTGTACTGACAGCTTTCTTCTGAGAGGACAGCCTGCTGGAAATGAAAAGGAGCGGATTGTCTAACTTCCTACATCTTAGCTTAGTGTTGTCAAAGACAGCATTCAGGTGATGTGACAAACGTGGCCTGTTCCTCGGTAGATTTGTTACGATTTAGACCTGAGGGTTTCCGCACGGCCATGAATGCTCGGGGCATCGTTCACACCTCCCCATTGTGTGTTAAAGCCCAGGTTGACGACAATCAAAAGAGCGCAATTCACACTGGCATTCCTAATAAATAGATATTCATGAGCATTCAACACCACCACGCCTACTTTTTTTTCAGCACAGCTTATTTACACATTGTACATAAGCTGCCTTTGATGAATGAACGTCTTGGTAATATAACATGCTCCTTTCAGCCACCACTATACTGCCGGTATATGGCTCCCACCTACCGGATACTACTTCACTTCCCCTTTTCATTTTTCATCCTCCTTCTCCTCCACTCATCCTTGCTTTGTCACATGTGTCACAGTGCAGGTGGTTTCTGCTTCCAGCTGAGGTACCATCATTGAGTGGTTAACTCAGCCTTGGCTGCATTTTATGTGACAGCAGCAATGTGACTTTATGATTATGCTTTATTGCTGAAGGGAAATCCCCTCTTCTGTCGCCCCTCCACAACAATGTCAAAGGTCAGGGTCAGCTACAAAACATCACCCATGAGCTTGTAGGGGTTCATCTTCTAACTCGCCTTGCCGCCCTGCTGACTCGAAGGTTGAAAAGGCAGGCGCTGATTGTTATCATTTTTACTCACTGATCAAAGGCAGTTTCTTAGGTGCATGCTAATCCTTCTGTACATTTTCCAATTTCAACATCTGACAAGCATTTGTCAGACATGGTCATAGTTTCCTCTTTCTCTTGTGCTGTCACCCGTCACCCAAGGGACTTCCTCAATATTCTTGAAATAATTCTGTTCATCTGTACAAACAGTTCACAGTCTAGTGTCACAACATTATTAAATGATCTTAAGGCTTCAAGTCAGTGATTTATGACTTTCTCAAAATTATACCCACATAATGTAGCTTGAAGATGATGTATATGTAGCTAAACCCTGAACACTTTACTAAATGACTGAAACTGAATTCTATGCTTCTGTTTAAAAAAAAAAGAAGCATCTTTTAACATTTGGGATCAATCTCTGTGGTACTGTTTCCTTTGTCAGTCACACATGAGGCGGCAAAGGCTTATCTTCTGTTACAAGACAGACCAGGCAGCAGAGGGGCATTCTCCCCCCCGACCTCCCAAACCCAGTTCCAGCATAATTATAAAGACAAGGCCCCAATGATTTATCAGAGAAGTCTGGGAGCTTTTGCCTGTGAACATCTGAAAGCTGTCAGTGCCCTCACCATGCTCCTCCCTGTCATCACATTAACTGGCATGTCTTGATTTAAGCCGTACGTGTATGGCCAGAGGTAGAGTCATGCGGGCAAGCTTGAGGTTCTGTTCTCACCTGTGGCTTTTCATAGACTCCCCACAGCCACGGCGGAAGTGCAGTCAAATGGAGTGTCAGGATATAGTCATAGTGCCTGGGAACATAGTAGGTAGGGCTGCAACTAACTAACTAACTTTTCATTATCGGTTAATCTGCAGATGATTTTCACGATTAAATTGCTTTTTTTTTTTGTCCAACCAACAGTCCAAAACCCTGAGACTCTTCATTTACTATCATAAATGACAAAGAAAAGCAGCAAATTCTCACATTTATGCTTAAAAAATGGCCGAAACAATTAATCACTTATCAAAATAGTTGAGAATTTATTTTTTTGTTATTGACTAATTGTTGCAGCTCTATTGCTATGTACTGTAAAACTGACAGACTGATTTTTTTGTGTCATCAAGTGTTTCTGTAGGCTGAAATAGATGCATATGATTGCCCTCACTAGTCATCTTCACATATGGTCACATACTGTGTAAAAAAGCCTTGCTTTTCTGTAGTAATGCATACTAATATACTCTTTGTTATTGTATATGTTGTGCACACACGTGAGACCATTCCAAAGTCTGTATGGATGACTTTGTGGCACTGGGGATCAGCAGCTTTGGTTGCTGAGGGAGTACATGGACATTCAAAACAAAAAGAGAAAAGAAACATCAGTCCCCACCATCATTGCCAATCCTCTGCAAATCCCTCCCATGCTCTCCGTCCAGGGTCTAGCCAAGCCTGCTCCCCTTCCCTCAGTGGGAGTCGAGGTTTTGTCACCATGCAGCTCACTTTGGCATTGATAAGGGAAGTCAGGGTGAGGGAGCTCAGAACATATGGTTTCAGTAAAGATATAGAGTGGTTCATGGTGGTGGCGGTGGGGTGTGTGTGAAGAGGCTAATTCAGTGATGGGAATGAAAAGTGAGGGAGTGGTTATTGAATAGAATCGGATCGGTCTCTAAGCTGTTATTTGTGTGCATTTCCTTTTTGAGGGTCTGCTTGTTCTCACCCTGCCTCAACTAGAAACCTCCAACTTATCCCAGAATGCCCATTGACATTTCACTGAGAACGTTTTGTACATTTACGCATCTTCTGTGAGTTATATGTGTACATGGAGATGGGAATAGGCATATAGGAGCTAGACAGTTTTCCCCAGTCAGGAAAAGCGGACTGGTTTGAGGTTGCAATGTTTTCTAGTCTCCTGATGTCACTGTCCTGTCTGTATGTTGAACAGTTGTGCAGACTATGGAGTTTTGATTCAGTGGGAACCACTCCACAACATGACATACTGTTAATGTTTAGATCACTGAAACATTTCCTGTTGTCAGACTCCATAGCCACACCTGAGATACCTGGACGTGATTTAAGTCCAAAATATATTTTGTTCCGTATATTGGTTTCTTAATGTAGACTCCCCCAGCTTCTTCCTGATGGTTTTCGTTTTCCCGCCATATTCATGGTAGAAACTGAACAGGAGCCT